TTTATCGCTTTATTTTTATTTGCTCTTCCATATATACATTTACAAACACGGAGTGCGATATTATTAATGAAGAGGCCCATGTAGAGAGAATGTTGAAAGAAGGAAATTAAAGTGGTAAAGTCAGAAAGTGTAGACAGATATTGCACAGAGAGTGCATATTAGATTTGAGTTATTGATTGAATCTGATGAAAGCAGCTAATTTCATAAGAAACGTTGACATTTTATATACATTTTTCCTTGTGGGTTTATAAAAACGGGTAAAGTATTACGCTTGTATTATTGACCAATAAAAAAACTTTGCGAATTGAAACTTTTTTTTTTTACTGTTAAAATAAACGATGATAATTAGCAATTTAAAAAAATATATTTTTTACTTACAAATGTCTCGACAAACGCATTGTTAAATATTTAATTTACGGTATTTAAATACCGTAACTGATGAGTTACGGTAAGATAAAGAAAAAAGACTTCCTATAGGTAAATACAACTTTTGAAGCTTTAAAAGTTGTATTTACCACACACAAAAAAATACCGTAACCGAAAAGTTACAGTGTTTAACAGAATTGTTACAATATTATTTATATATTTATTATTATTAATACAATATTATTTATATTTTTTATTATTTATGTATTTGATTATTGATAACGCAATAACACGTTTGTCAAAACTAATGTAATTTAAATAATATATATTAACCCACCTTGTGGGTTTGATTTTAAAAAAGACTTCCTAAAGGTAAATATAACTTTTGAAGCTTTAAAAGTTGTATTTAGCACACAAAAAAATACATTTAAAAGTCAAAATAACTTGCGGTACTTAGGCAACCAAAGGTACTTATTGCCTTTAAAAGTTCAGCCAGCTGAAACATAGTGTGGCGTAAAACATTTAAGAATTGAAACGTAATTAAGATATATACAAATATATTTTTTTTTACGTTACTATACCTTTTTTTTTTTTTAAAGGATAGCATTATTTGAGACGTAACATAATGTTAAAAAAATCTATGTTACAGACGTATTTTAGTTACGTCTCAAATCTAGATTGAGTTACGTTATGTTACGTCTCAATAGGTTACACTTTATAAAGTTGTAAAAAAAAAAAATTGAGACGTAACGTTGCATATTGAGACTTTATTTTTTTCGTGACAAAGTAACCAATTGTGGCAAAGCTATTTTGCAACAATATTAAAATAAAAGACAGTATTTAGCACTACGGCAATAATAAACAAACTATTATTGCATTATCAAGTTTATTTACTTAATATTTGATTAAAAAATAGAGAATGTAACCTTGTTAACAATTGTAACCGATTGAGACGTTACGTAACTTTAAAATGTTATAGGGGTATAGATTACAGTGTTACGTGTCATTAGGTCGAAATGTTACGTGTTTTACGTAACATTTTTCACGTAGTGTTACGTTACAATGTTAAGTCTTGGTTATGTAAAAATAACGGACATTTTGCACGTAACGTAACGAATCCCGCTTACGTTACAATACGTAACGTAACTCTAAAATATTATAGGAGTATATTCCATAACAACTTCATCTTGTTACACAGAATTATTTATTTTAATAGTATAAAAATTTAGATTTTAAAATAAAAATAATTTCAAGGTCCCCCGAAATGAATAATCAAATTTAAGTGGTTCGTACTATTATTCTAAGATTGATGCAATTTGCACTTTTTAAAAAATTATTAATAAAATGTTCATTAAACTTTTTTTCGTTCTTGAAAAGAAGCTCGCTTTTTTTCGTTCTTGAAAAGATGGTTTCCGCTACTAGAAGTAGTAATTGAAGAGGCATGGAGTCCTTTTCTTTGGTTTTAAAGTCATGTACAAGTTTTACAGCTATATCGGCGCAGTCATTCACAACTTGACAGTGTTTGCAACATTTTTCACAATCTTCATCCAGTGCTCGATAGGCAATTGCGTCCGGTCTACCTTGTTTGCAGTCAGTAGTATATAAGCTGTAGTATATACAATAGTAGCCAGAAACGTGGACCAATTAAAGAGAAAAAAAAAGAGATGTTGTCACCGTCAGTTTTCGAAAAAGAAGGTTATCCAGGCTTTATTTTTTCTCTTTTTTAGGTCTAGTACAGCTTCAATGCCATAGCAGAAAAATTGCCTCATCAAACATCGCAAAAAAAATTAACTCTTCAATTGAATAGAAAGGTGTCTGTTTCAAGACTGAATGGCTGCAACACGAGAAGTTTTGGATGTATTAAGGTACCACTGCATATAGACGATGTACTGCAGATCACTTTTTGGTACGATAACTGAGATGCAATTTTGTAAAAAAGCCTTTGCCTGAAACAGCAATTAAAATAGCAACAGTTGACAATCTGGTTTTCCAATTTGGCTACGAGAGAGTGAAAACCTCGACTTCGAAGCTGCTTGACTCATTCGCACTTTTCTCGAGGATTTCTTTTTTTTCTTCATCACTAAAAGATGTTTTTCTTCTTTTAGCTGTACTTTTTCTTTTAGCAGTGCTGTGGGCGTTAACTCTGTTTTCAAGGCGTTTATTGCAATCAAGCTTGTTCTTTTTTAGCTGCGCAAAAGTTGTGCCACAACCAATCAACAATAACTATGATCTATACTTCCTTTATACTGACCGTCCAGTTTAGACGCAACTATCGTTTAAGAATAATTATTTGGTTGAAATAAAATAATCAAACTTTTTTATTTTGGCGCATGCGTTTCTACTATATAAAATCTTTATGAATACATTTTTATGTTGTCCCAAATTTAAGCCGTAACGGTTAATAATAGTTAGTGATACCTTTTAACAAAATCAGCGCAAATTACTTTACTGATGCTGCTAATTTATAAAATCATTTAATTAATTATACTACTATTTAATATCACTGTTTAATTCGGGGGGACCCTTAAATTAATTTTTTTAAAGTCGAACAGAATAAGTTTTTTTTTTAAGTTGTTACGGATTTTATTTGTTAATATTTTAAGCAAAAATACTCAAAAAAGATGTAAAAAAAGAGTCTTTCACGTTTTTCTAAGTTGAGGGGCCCTGACATTTTTCTATGTTTTAAAAAAATACTTGGTTCATATTATTTTTATCTTAGTCAAAATCTTAATTTAAAAGTTGGCGTGATATTTCTAAAATTTTGCAGGAATGGGACACAATAGGCGCAAATCAAATTTGGTACAACTCGTTTTTTAAAATAAAGTTGACTTAAATAATTGTTTGTATAAACAAAAACCTTTAGTCAATTTATGTACACTCCCCGCAATTTTCTCTAGATAGTTAGTCGATATATGTACACTCAGCTGCTCCGATCCCTGATAGTCAGTCAATGTATGTACATTAGTGTCTCGTGACGAATTTTACCTAGTTTGGGGTGTGTTGTATACAATTATATTCAAGCGTTGTCAAGCCTATAATGACATGTGTAAATGAAACAATTTAAAGAGTTGGCAAACGTAATTAATAGTCGTCGTCCCCCCCTCCTCTTTGATATGCCCGGTGAGATACCAATATAAGTTCTAGTTCACTCTTACAACAATATTTTGATACAAAGTTATAATTTACAACTCATAAACGGAAAAGGTGAACCATGAAGTTGGATGAAATACACAAATTTTTAACTTTGTAAATGAGATTAATTATGTCTAAACTAACCAAAAAAATTAAAAATATTTAATTATGTCTAAACTAACCAATGAAAGAATCTCTGTAAATGTTTTGTATAAATTTTAAATTATTGAAAGCACTAGAATCTGTGCTTGTAATATCATCGTTAGCAATCAGAATATATGTGCTAAGATTTGAAGAGACATAACGTTGATGGTGAGCATCAAATAAATAAAGCAACAACGACGACTCTAACAACAATAGCAGCAAAGTTAAATAAAAAAAACGCCGTAAAATTTTAGAGGAAGCATTAACACGTCAAAAGAACTAATAGAACATGATCTACTTTCTTTTATACATTTTTATAACAGTTAAGGTAGGTATATATCTTTTAATTTGAAAAAAAGTTTTGTAAGTATTTCTTTTAGTTTTTAGAGTTAGGGGATATCCACACAGTACGTACGCAATAAAAACACTTATTTAGGACTCCCTCCTCCCCCCTTGTACGCAACGACAAATCCCCTTTCGAATCGTTTTTTATTTTTTCTTGGCAATATTATTAAGATTATTTTTTTAATGGCTGTTTTATCTAATATCATCTATCATCGATTAGAAAATATCATATTCATCTATCAGTAAATTATATATTAAAATACCATGGATACTAATTGTTGGTTCCAAACTTAGAAAGGAACATAGAAAGTAAAACATTAAGGTTATACTCATATCAGCCTTTAACTTTAATATTATAGTTTGAAACAAAATAAAGTACAAATTCTGGTGTGCGAAAAAGAAAGTTATATACAGATTTTTTGAGCACCAGAAAAAGGTATTAAAAGAAAATGAACTGGGTGTTACTGAACATTCCAAAGCATGCTGTCGTACCTTAGACTGATTATCTCAAAATCTTAACTGTTGTTCCACTTATCGTATTAGAAAATTTAAAGAGTCAAAAGTAAAAAGCAGAACCATAGTTTATTTAAAGTTGGAAAGTGGTGAAAGAGTTCTGAATTGGAATGACAATGACAACATGTCAAAAAAAAACCTGAAGGCCATTTTTTAAAATATTTAACTGACAATTTATTGTTAACATTTGAAAATTTTTTTGTTGTTGTTGTTGATCTTTCCCAATGGGCGAGCGTCGTCCGGTGGACGTTCGTCAGACGTCTCACGAAAATCCAGACGTTCACGGACGTCAAGACGTCAGAGTTAATACACATGGCCCCCATCGAGCGTGATTATCATTTAATCATACTTTTAGTGTCAAGTTTTATAAGTGCATATATATATATATATATATATATATATATATATATATATATATATATATATATATATATATATATATATATATATATATATATATATATATATAGCTTAACTATTACTTTTTATAAAGCACAAACCTTGCTATTTCTTCAACAATTTGAAATATCTTTGATGGGTCTGTCGATTTAATTGTTATGCTATCTTTTGGTGGAAGCAAAAGCCGTTGATCTGCAATTTAATGTCAAAAATAGTTCAAAAAAAATAGTTCTGAGAATATTTTTTGTAAACAAATAATATATTAAAAAGCTACATACCTTCTTCAATATCTATTTTTTTAATTTCATCAACTTCTTTTTCAACATTCTACATAACACATTTTAAACTTGAAAAAATCTATGGCTTCAATGATATTTTTAAATGATATTCAATGATATTTTTTTAAATAATGATGTTCAATAATATTTTTTATATAATGTTAATCAATGATATTTTTAAAGTATAAAGTAAAAGTTGAAGAATATAAAGTATAATTACTAACCTCATTTTCTGAAACATCTTGTTCATCTTGTGAAACATCTTGTTCATCTTGTGAAACATCTTGTTCATCTGGTGTATTGTTGAGTCCTGAATTTATTATGTCACCATTGTTGTTTTGAAAAACATTTTTCCATATATTAACTTCGTGCTTTAACCGTTCACTCTCTCGAAAAAGTTCGTCGTATATTTTGATTATTTCATCCCTATCTTTTATAAGATCCTCATTATCAACTGCCAAATCTTCGTTTTCCTCGATAATTTTCTCGTTTTCAAGTTGTGCATTTATTAGCTCGGTTCTAAGACGACTAATTTCGAAATTTGCATCTTCCAATTTTATGCTAAGTCTTTGTGTTTTTGCTTTTTCTTCATCAATTTCATTTTCAAGTTTCTTTATGTTTTTATCAAAGTTTTTGTTTTCATCGTGAAATTTTTGAAGAATTTTTAAGTTTCTTTTCTTCAAAGAAATATTTTCAAATAAAATCTTTTCGTGACGATCTTGCGTTTCTTTTAGTTCACCTGCAAGTTTTTTTAACTCGCTTTCGTAAGTATCATAAATGCTCATTTCTTCCTTAAGCTTAAATATTTTTTCGTTAAGTTCTTCGCAACTATTGCAAATAGTAGATTTTAATAAACTAGCTTCATTCGTGATTTCTTTAAGAGTTTGACTTAAATTATCTATTTGTTTTATACTGATTTTTTCGCCTATGTTTTGCTTTCTACTGAATTTATCACATATGTTTTGAGTTTTTTCTAATTTTATTACTCTTCTAACTTCGTATTTCACCAGAGATGCACGCGGCACCTCTGCAAAAGTTTTTTGTTGACTTGGTAAGTTATCTATACTGTGGTGTTCCGTATTTTTAATCAAATTGATATTTTGGACTGTATTTAAGGTGCTCTTTGAACCTAGTTTTCAAGTAAATTTATTAAAGTTCATATATAAAATTTATATGAAACTTAAAAGGATCTATCGAGTATTTAATGATACGAATCAAAATAACAACCGGAGAAAATCTAATTACTGTAAGAAAGTGACTTAAAAGTTTGTAAAATATTTCAAATAAGTGTAAACTATTCGGATATTTGACAAATGTCGCTTTAAATAATATCAAACTATTGCAAAGTTTATGCTTTATTGTTTAAAAGTTAGGTATAAGACCTTAGAGAAATAGGAATAAAAGCATTCATAAAAGGTTTTCAAATTCGTTATACAAAGTTGAATTTATCAAAATTCATCAATTATATATATTTTTTACATAGTAATAAATGCATCAACTCAATTTTGAGAAAACGTTTTATTTAGAAAAGTTAATTTTACATTCGCTCTGACGTCAAACAAAACAATCAAAACGGCAGTAATTATTAATCGCGGCCATATCGTTTCATAAAATATGAAAAGACATTTTTAGCATTTTAGGATGTTGCTTATTATTATTATATCCTAAAGTATTGAAAAAATTGGCTTTTTTAAAAACACTGTTTACTTGATTATTAAATTGTAATTATCAACCGGTCATTAAGAAATTGAAATTTATTGTAGTAATAGAGAAATATGTTATGTTTACGCTTATAGACGTATACATCAACTTTGTATAATCGTATTTTTTTAATTTTCTAAACAGTTGAACAGTTTTTATATAATAGTTATACAGCAGGAAAAAAAATTATTTAATAATATTTGTATTATAATTTATTATTTAGGTTAATTTAATTTACATTTTTTTAGTTTGATTTAATCTACAATAAAAAACAACTGTAATACTTAAAAAAAAGAATTTTAAATTTAATTATTAGAGAAAGTTTTAAAACAAATAAAAGGTAAAAGTTTGCTTTACATAAACTGACGTCATAAATTAATTTTACATAGAATGACGTAATATTCAAGTACATATATTAAAACCATCCTAAAAAATCTTAAAACTAAAACGGCAAACAATAAAAAAACATGTTTATCTCGGTGTCTTTTATAGTAATATTAGTTTTACAATAGTTTATAAATCTCATTTTACTAATTTAAATCTTTTAAAAAAGATTTTCAAATTAAAACTCACACACACACACACACACAGATATATATATATATATATATATATATATATATATATATATATATATATATATATATATATATATATATATATATAATATATATATATATATATATATATATATATATATATATATATATATAGACACACACACACACAGATATATATATATATATATATATATATATATATATATATATATATATATATATATATATATATATATATCTGTGTGTGTGTGTGTCTATATATATATATATATATATATATATATATATATATATATATATATATATATATATATATATATATATATATATATATATATATATATATATATAGACACACACACACAGATATATATATATATATATATATATATATATATATATATATATATATATATATATATATATATATATATATATATATATATATATATATATATATATATATATATATATATATATATCCCAGTAAGCACAGAACGTTTTTAAAACGTTTAAAAAAGTTGTTAAAACGAATTTTAACGTTTTTTAAACGTTTATAAAACAATCTGTGCTTACTGGGATATATATATATATATATATATATATATATATATATATATATATATATATATATATATATATATATATATATATATATATATATATATATATCGTCGTTTATCTGGACAGAGCCAACATTTAAACCTCGAAACTTTTGGTTTGAGCCAGAACTCTAATCATTGCGCGAAGTAATCAAAAAGATTACTCGAAATATTGAGCAATAAATAAGAACATGTGGTGTTGGGAATTACTTATTCTGTTTGAGTTTTTATAGCAAGTGTCACCTCTAGTTTCATTTTAATGCGATTCAAAGAATCGATACTTCTTTTCATTTGAGCACATTAACAATAAGGAAGTTTTTTTCAAAACAAAAGGTAAGTGTTTTTCATCTGCCTCTTAAGCACTCTTTGATGCAGCAAAAAATACAGCCTTCATCAGATAAATCTGTAATATTTGCTCGCTTATTTTTTCACATTGATATCCCAATACTTAAATGGTCGTTCTTGTTTTGGATGAAAATATATTTATTTTTAATTTTGGAACTTTTGTCCTACCTTATTAGCTTCAATATTTGAAAATCTATTATTGTTTCTGCATCACTCTATGAGTTTACTCTTCACTTAATAAATAAATACCTGTAAAACTCTATTTAGTACTTAATTTATGACCATGAATTAGTTCAGAAGTTTTAATAAATTCAACAAAGGTTTCATTATTTTCATTATCAGATTGATTATCAAGTCATTATTTACTTCAAGTTTTTAAAATTTTAAAATTTAATTTTTTTTTAAATTTTCGTGTTTCTGATGCTAAAACACTTTTTAATGTCAATAGGTTATTACTTAAAACGATTATATAATTTTTAAGAAAACATGCAAACATTTGTATATCTTTTATACACACGACCGAAAACTGATTTGAAAAAAAATAAAATATGAGACAATTTTAAATATCTCTTTGAGGAGCATGAAGTTTTAGCAAGTACTCTAGGGTTAATTTAAAATTGATTTATAGTTCTTTTAAATCAAATATGAATTTAGAACAATCTAGAGCTTTTTATGGACTAATACTTGTCTTACATTTTTAAATTGTAAATCATAAAAAAGCAAATGCATTTATAATAAACAGCAACAACAGAAAAAACTAAGAATTTAAATTTAAATTAAAATACCAATCGTTATCTTTGGACATTTTATTGTGATCATGCTTTTCCAAACTTCTTCTGAAATAAAAATTTTAATAATACTTCAAACAATTTTTATTGCATAAAAAGTAGGTTACCTGGTTATGAATGAGTTTATTTTTTAAATCATTTCTAAATATTTTGTAAATAATCAGTGTTAAATTAAAAATAAAACTTAGTTAAGATTTTATATCAACTGCGCTCAGTAAATTATATTTTACTGTTTAACTATAGTTTATGAATAAACCACTAAAATCCGATAAATGAGTATGAACCACTAAAACACGATTTATGAACAAACCGCTAAAGCTCAAGTTAAACAAATATTGAATTTTACATTTACAATCAATAAATCTTTTTAAATTATGGAGCTTTAAACCTGGATTACCAAATGTTTAAAATTACAGTATTATGGTTACGTGATACTTTAAAACTGGATTAACAAATATGTAAAATCTGGGTTAGTAATTAAAACTATTTTCATTTTAACATTTCTTTAAAAAAAAATTTTGCATTAGTCAAATTATCTGTGGTTTAAATATTGTTGAATCTTATCTGTGAGTTTAAATGTTTTCGACTTATATTTGGTGAAAAAAAAAATATATTAATTACGATAAAACGTTTATGCTAAGTATAATTATAAAAAAAAAATTATAAAATTGCGCACAAATTTTTAAAAAAGTAGGTTTATTACCGTTACAAATTTATAAAATAAAAACTAATTTTTTATAAACATATTTGTTTTAACCTGTTTATGATATCATGACAATGGCATTTTTGCCAATCATGACAACACAATCTTTTTCTGAAACAAATTAAGATATCACCTTTTTCTTATTCTGAACCAAATTGCTATTAATTTTTAAGTTAGTTTTTAAAACTTAATTAGAACAGATTTGCTCTTGCAAACTTAACTTATTATAACAGATTTGCTCTCCAGGCTTTTAAAAGGACACAAAACTAATAAAAAGTCAATCGCGATTAAGAAAGATTTTGAGCATGAATAGGGGAATGATGGCATAGTTAACTTTGAAGCAGTGCCGGATCAAGGGGGAGGGCTATAGCCCCGTGCCCCACAAGTTTAGGGGCCCCAAAAAATTTTAGAGGACCTTTTTTCTTCTTAAATCTTTTCAAAATGGAGCGCACTTTAAGAAGTTAGACAAAATGCTATCAATTAAAGTTTCAGTCGCTCCATTGTATTTAATAGAAGAAGCTGTTAATAAAAAAGAATTAGAAAAAAAAAAAACTCAAGGAGAAATTTTTGAATATATAATAAATAAGAATAAATAAGTTTTACATATCTTATAAAGGTATGCCTTTCACTACACCATATAAATTAGTGCTCTTAAAGCATATTTCCACCTTTCCCCTTCATATTCATGGAGATCACAAATTTGTTGGAAAATATTCTAAATTTTAATAGAAAAGAGAACTGATATTAATTATGCGAGAACTAATATTAATTTTTTTTTTAATTTAAATTGAACTCATTATCAAACAATTTTTTTGCTAAATAATTTAATCCTTTAAATTCTTGAATAATTAAAAATTATTTTGATTACCTCAGCATTATTTTGTGAATTCTGTCTTTTAAAGATATTCCATCAATTGCAATTGATTAACCTAAAAAAAACAACATGTAAAGGTAATATTATTGTTTGAAATTTTAGTTATCATTATACAAATACTCATCATATTTTTTAAGTGACTGATAAAAATGGATTTAATTAAAATCACTTTATTTGTATTAAAAAATTAATATTAAAGCCTTAATCATACATTATACAAGAGTATTTTGTAATACAATCTAAATAGTTGTTGCGATTTGTAATTTCTTTATCTGAAATTTAGCTTCTGTAAGCTTTAGAAATTTTTTCAAGAAATTATTGATAAATTTGGATCTACGGGTACTAATGATTTTATATTGTTGTAATGTTTGTATTCATTCCCTGTTTGTTTCTGTAAGTCAAAATTTTTTAGATGTTTCTATAATAAACTCTGTTATATCTGAAATTTAGTGTAAGTCTGAATAATTTAATTTCTAAAATCTGTTTTGCATTGCTTGTCTTATAACATCCTTACTTGGAACAAAAACCATGTGCTTTAAAAGTGAGCTAGAAGCTTTGAACCATGAAGAAAATATTGCATTCACTAATGATTATCGAACGCAATATTTTAGAATTAGCGGCTAATCCTCAAAATATATTAAACCTGTCAGCAAGATCAGCTGTCAGTAATCCAAGTATTAGCATCATTAAAAATTCATCTTTGCTGCATTACATTTATTTTGGTCCAAGTAGTTAAAGATTTTTTTAAATTTCAAAAAACAGAAGTAGATGTTTTTTTAATATATAATATATATAATATTTTTTAATATCTTCTTTTGATTAATGGTGATACCAGTGCCGTGCCAGACAGTTGGTAGGCCCCCTCCCAAAAAAAAAAATTTGGGGCCCTTGTAACACGTCAAGCCCGTCCCCCGGTTTAGGAGGGGGTAATTTGTTTTTAAAATCACTCCTTCCTCACCGCCCCACCCTCACCCTCTAAGAACTGTCAACCTTTAAAGTTTTATCGATAAAATTAAAAAGTAAGAAGAAAAAAAAAAAAATTGGAATTAAATAATAATTTGATGTTTTGTAATTTAACTAAACGCTGTGTCTAGCGCAACGGTACTGTTGCTTTAATTTTTGTGCCTAAAGTCACTAATAGTCATTGTGACTATTAATGAACCAATCAGAATTCAGCAAGTAGCGAAATCTGATTGTTTCTTTATATAGGTTGCAAATATATACTTGTATACTGATATAGGGGTAAACACAATTTAGTGTACACACGTCTACTGACTATCTAGAAATTGGCGAAGTGGAATGTGTATACATCGACTGACTATCTAAGGATTGGTGTAGTGGAACGTACATACATAGACGGAGGGTTTTGGCCTGAGCAGGCAATCTTTTGAATAAAAGAGTGCTTTTTAAATTAAAAATCGGCAGCTGTATCTTTGCGCTGCGTAGACTAATTTAGTAATACAAAGCATCTTTTTCATAAGATTTAACTTAAACTAAGCTAAACAAAAACAAAACTTTCTAAACGAAAGTTTTACTAAAATAAAACGTCCACTAACTCAGCAATACAATCAATGGCGGATCCAGGTCACTGATTGGTCCTAATGGAGGTTAGTCGGAACAACAACAAAAAAAAGGGCCCTATTTTTTAGGTTAAACAACTATTTCATTTGATCATTTACAATGTTTATATATTGACAAATATATACAGTACAATCTCTCTAATTCGAACAAAAATGGGGAAAATAAAAAATCGAATTAGAGTGATTTAAGAATTACAGAAAGTTTTTTTCACATAAGGGTATTTCACGGTGACTTTACATTTAATCGATTTATGGAGGTTTTCAAATTAAGGAGATTCGAATTAGAGAGATTATACGGTATATATATTAAATGTGTGTATAACTTTAAAACAGCATTTTTTTTAATTTTCCTTTTTTTTTTTTAATTTCTATTAATAAAAATGTAAAGTTTGATAGTTCTTTGGGGGCTAATCCCCACCCCCTTCTTTGAATTTGCCAGTCAATACAATCATCATTGTATGCATGTCAATACATGCATCATTTTGTTAGGTTTACCGAATTTGAAAAAATAAGCAAACGTTAATACGAAGTTTTAATATTATAAATAAATAAAAAACATCTATATCATAATTTTAATTTTCAAAATAGGCCCCTTCAAATTCCTAGGCCCCCCCAACCGGGGGGTTTGGGGGGCTTTTGGCACGACACTGGGTGATACTGCACTAACTGATGAAACACGATTTGTATGGATAATGTTAATATACAAAGTTTTCTGGTTTCATAGTAATAACTGATGTGGTTGAAGTTAATTTTTCATATAAATCTTTATTTTTTTTTATTTCGTGCTGAAATTCTTTTTTAAAGTTATCAATTTCCTTTTTTAATTCTTGATGCTCTTTTTTAAAACAACGCTTAAATTCAACATTAAATTCAACATAATTTAATGGATCATTTTTAAAAAAAGTTGTATTATTTAAATTTAATAATATAAGTCTTTGAGCATTGTAGCCCAAGTTAAACGAAAAATATCGGGTAGGTACAATCGGCAGAGCAGATTGGCAGAGCAGATCATTGTAATGTTGAAAGCGGCAGAGCAGACTATCCAATCAGCCGTTTTCTAATGTGTTTCTAATTTTCTAATCTGCCAAATATTATTTGGCAGATCACACATTATTCAAATATTATTTGGTAGATCACGCATTATCAAAATATAATTTTGCAGATCACAAAATAGAAAACGGCTGATTGTCTGTCTGTGATAATCTGCTCTGTCGTTATTATTATTACAATGATCTGTTCTGCCAATCTGCTGTCGGTTGGCAGATCACACATTAGAATACGTCAGATCACTTTTTTTTTGGAAAATATTGCGACAACAAAAAACGTTTATGTTTAAAAAGTCAACTCATAGTTCTTTCTAATCGAAGTGCATCGTTTTTCATAAAAATATTTGGCAATCACATTATAAAAATCCTATTATATGATCTGCCGAATTATTTGGCAGATCACACATTAGGAAACTGCTGATTGAATAATCTGCTCTGCCGTTATTAACATTTCAATGATCTGCTCTGCCAATCTGCTCTGCTCTGCCGATTGTACCTACCCAAAAATATCGATTTTTAAACGATAATGCTCTTTCAGGAAAATCGTCTGAACATGTTTTTGATCTCTTGAAAATTCTCTATGTTATAAGTTCAGTATTTACATTTTTTTCCATTATAAATCTTTATAACTTAAACCGTTAAAATAATAGGCCGGGTGAATAAAAACGAGCAGTTGCTTTTACTCAGTAATTGGTCAGCTTTACGTGAATAAAAGCTAAACCAATTTTTTTTAAGTTTTTATTTACGTAATGCCGAACAATTACTAAGTAAATTGCTTAACTTTACGTGAATAAAAATTTGAGTAAAACTCTTAATATTTTTATTCACGTAAAGCTGACCAATTACTGAGTAAAGCAATTGCTAATTTTTATTCACACGGCCTAATGTTTACGTTCTTATTTCCATTTCTGCGCGCGCATAAATTTTAT